GCGGCCGCTCTCCCAGCTTAGCTGAGACGCCCGCGCACTCGGACGCTCCTGGCTCCCACGGGGAGACTGAGTCTGACCGCATCAGCCCTCCGCTCCACGCTCACCCGCCCCCTGAGACCCGGCGTGGACGCTGCTGCCCCAACAGCCCCTGCCAGTCACCTGTGGGGGCGGCTTCTCGGGGCTCAGGAAACGGGGGCAAGGGAGGGTGGACTCAGACCTGGGGGAGCTCTCAGCGCAGCCAAACCGGGGCCACGCGCCTTCTTAGGAGGCATCTTCTCTCTCGGGTCCACGTGAGCGTCTCCCGTCTCTGCGGGGCCCCTGAGGGCTGCGCTCCAGGGCCCCTTCCCGGGCAGGGGACGTGGCAGCCGCCCGCGCCAGATGGAGAGAGACGTCGGCTTTATTGCAAAATGAGGTAAGAACAGGCAGGTGCGCAGCAGTTCTGTGCAGCCACAGCACACTCTCAGGCTTACGGCTATACTTCATATTTTAAAAGCTCAAATTATTTTATAATTTTCTGAAAATACATCCCGTTGCCATCTGTTTTCAATGCCGTGTCTGTAACCGTTCGTAACGTGTAAACGACGTTTCCCCCTTTGGATAAAAAAAGAACAAAAACATGAAGAAATAAACATTGTTCAGTTAGGAACGATTACGGAATGACTGTGTGTATCTCCTTGGGACACAGATTTCCGTGGATGAGGGTCCGTGGCAGCATGGCCGCATGGCCGCGGGGAGAGCGGTGGCTGCCACAGGCCTCGCACCTGGACGCTGTGTCCGCTGTCCCCTCGGGCGTGGGAACTGGGCTCTGAGGACCGGCAAGCGAGTCCCCAGAGCACCCCAGTCTCTCCCTTCTGGGATGGGACCCCTTGTCTCAGGGGGCCCTGCCCATAGCCAGGTGACCACGGCTCTGAGAGGCAGCTCCGAGCGCGTCTGTGGTCAGGTGGGCAGCGAGGGTCCTCCGCTGGAGCTGGGTGACCTGGCGGGAGCAGCCCCACGAGCCCCGCGTCCTGTGTGCTGCTCGGTGCGGAGACGCGAGGGCTGGTCTGTAGCATCGTCCCCCGCCTGGTCCTGGGCGGTCGGGGTCCACGGTCAGGAAGTTCTCCCTGGTTCCCTGGCCTGGCCCTGGGCTGTGGTGAGGACGGTGCTCCCACACCCCTTCCTCCGAAAGTGCTGCCGGACGCTGTTTCTCACGGTGCTGACCAACCAGCTCTCCCGTCAGTACAAACGTCTGCGTGAGCATCTCGAGCATTCGCTCCCTCCCACTCTCTAAAGAGACAGCCCATCCTTCCCGACCTGACACCGCGCCCCACCCCTCCCTCTGCTGCCCCCGCCCTGCAGCTCTGGGTCTGCCTGGCGTTTCCAGGGCCTCTCCCTGCACATCATCCCGCCTGAGGGCCCAGAGAAGGAAAGACCAGCAAAGATGGAAAGAGAACAGACACTCTGGGGGAGCAGATTTCCCCCATAAAGAATTTACACAGAGAAGGTGGAGAGCGGACGCTTCCTCTCGCCCACGTGGAGACACCCTCGTCCCAGGGAAGAAGGACCCTCGAGCCTCCAGAGACGGGCAGGGGCCTCGCTGTGTGGGCAGCTCCCACCTCCCGCAGGGAAACTGCGCAGCTTGAGAGATGGAGCCGAGCCCCGTCGTCACCGCCCGCGTCTCCTCACACGCAGGCTGCGCGA